AATCTGATACTAAAGGGTTCATAGGAAACTTTCTTACAACAAAGAAATAAATTGATGGATGTAGCCGTTACTACGTGGTAGGAAATCATAATGAAGAAAAGAGAAATGCAGTAACGTTAGTTACAAATAAAAGTGGTAAAAAGCATAGAAAGTTTAATTTCTCTTTTCTTCATAAACAAAGAAATAGCTGAAGCAAGATTATTGTCTACAACAAAAAAGTTAATTAGCTTAGGAAAATTTAAAGCTTATAGTAAGGGTTTTGCAGAATGGGAATCATTTGGTATTATAGAACATTTTGACTAGAGTTGTCAAATAAATAGAATTTAAAAACGTCAGTAGGACTTTATTCAATAATAAAATTATATTCATCTCTTAAGGATTTTTCTATAGTGCTTGTGTTTTGTCCTTAAAAAAATTAAGCAAACGCTGCGAAAACAAAGAAGGAAGAAATATATATTCAGTGTTCACTACTTACCATGTTGGATATCTGCAAATAAATATATTACGAAAATGATCGTAATTGTTTTCATGGTTCTGAAACTGAGTGTTTTAACGCATTTGGTTTCGAACAGTATTATAAATGAGTCATAATATTCAAAATACCACGAGTTTCAGATACAGATTATTATTTTTATCAGTTTGATAGTAATGATCAATATCAAGCAAATTAGAGTAGGGGAGCGAGAGGCATGTTACAGGGGTAACAGGTAAGAACTTACGCGCCTTTTTTACCGAGACTATAAACTCTTTGGTGGACATGTTTAGACATTTTTTTCTTAAAATATCGAGCATCACATAAAAACAATCAGTGACCCGCCAAGCGCCAAGTTGCTAGGTTGTGTGCATGTGTCTCGATTTCAACCAAGTTAGTAAAAAAATCTTTTACGAATTTTTTTATTCCTGATGTCTATATTTTTTATTTTCTCAAAATGTTTATCTTTGAAGGTTCATAATATATCTACCTTTAATTCCCTTCCCCAAGGCAGGAGCTCGAAAATAATCCATCCATAGTCGTCTTAAACGCAAATCCGCTGTGCTAACCGACATACTTGAAAAAAACTCATTAAAAGAAGCGTATGAAGAAAAACTGGCCAAGACAAAAAACGTGTAACAAAAATAAAGAAAAAGGCAAAAGTGAAGGAAAAGGCAAAGGAAAAGGTAAAGGAAAGTCCTCGAAAATGAGGGAAGACTGTAAAGATAAGGTGAAGAAAAAAATTTTCGTTTTCGATTCAGATTCTGATACTGATAAATAGTTTTGTTTTGTGTGTACCGTAAATTACAGCACCTATAAAGATTAAGATTGGGTACAATGTTTAGAATGTAAAATGTGGGCCCATGTAAAGTTTGTAACGGGAAACTTCCACTTATTCATTTGCATTAATTGCAATTCTGATGAAGATTAATTTAATATTAGTATGTTACCTACCTATAATAACTATATATAAGTGCCTTAAAAATGTTAGAATAGTACCTATTTTAGTATGCTAAAAGTTTATTAAAATAACTAATAACTGAAGTATGATTAGATATAGGCATACAATACTTTGTCTAATTTCCACTTACTTAATGTATTGATATTACATTACATTAAGTAAGTGGAAATTAGACAAAGTATTTTTATTCCTATATCTACTGGATAACGTCCTTTCTTGAATATCGGAAAATCACCGTGAGAATCGCTGAAACCAAATCGAAGGAATACGATTCAGATCTTGGAACACCGCAGGGAAGTGTCATGGGTCCCTTGATCTTCCTTACCTATGTCAATGACTTGCCTCATAACATAAAGGACGGTAGAGTTTTCATGTATGCTGATGACACCTCTATTGTGGTGTCTGACACTGATCGCCAAAGACTACAGCAGAAAACTGACTCAGTTTTGAAAGATTTTGCGGATTACTGTATGCAGAATACACTAATAATGAATCAAAGTAAGACAGTAATAATTGAGTTTCACACAAAACATGGAATACCTTCTAATTTCACCTTCGAAGTCAATAATAATATTGTTGAAACCTCCACTTCATCTAAATTCTTAGGAACGCTCATAGATTGTAACCTAACATGGGAGGATCAAATACAAATAGTATGTAAAAAAATCAACAAAAGCTTTTATATTTTGGCAACACTAAGAAATATTTTGAACACAGATTCATTATTACAGGTTTAC